CTCTAATGATAAAAAGTCACCCAACTACAAACTAAATAGTAAAATATTGTTTTTTACGATCGCAGCGCCACCTTGTGAAAATAAAAAAGAAGTTCCCGAATAAAAGCTTCATAGTTTTTAATGCTCTTCCAGAATCTGCAATAAAAAATAGGGGTTTCCATTAGAGATTTCAATTTTTACCTCCATTTCCCACTCCCCTGGGTGTCAGGTGGTGAAACTTGTTTCATAACCAGACGTCCCCCTCCAAACCATACAACTTTTATTCGGCAATTTTTTTTGTCAGATTTCATACATTTCGAGAAATTTTCGAAAGATTAAAATGGGACACCCGGTATAACATTTCAACCACGAAATAGCCACAAAGCTCAAAGTGGAATGGAAGGTTAAATAGATACAAAAAAGTTCAAAGTCAACATCTATCTCTAGGAATATTCTCCATGAAAATCTTAATTTCTCAATGTGGTCCAAAGTATTTTCATAAGAAAAACAACAAAAACACGATTTACATTCTTTCATGATACCCAATCCAACGACAACCCTTTGCCTCGTTTTGAATTTATAATGTTTTGACCCTATACAGGATGTTTTTTGATGACAAGCTAATATTTAAGGGGGCGATACTTCGACCCATTTCAAGAAAACACTTCACATATCTTTTGAGATACATTTTACACGATTTACCAACTAACATATGTTTCAGGAGCCAGTCCCAATGATATCTTCATGAAGAAACCGTTTCGCCTTGCAGCTTTGCCAAATATAATGAAATCTCGCAGAGAAAAACTGAATACAATGGAGTTTTTATAACTTGTGATTAATACATACATATTTTTTATGACCTATTCTAGGTGCCAGTTGATCTGATAAGCAAAAGGTAGTGAAGTTTTCATATTTTCGTAGAAAAAAATGCCCTAGGAGAGAACTGTAATTATGTGTACTCACCATAAGGTTGTGGCGTTCTTTTTCAGCTGCTTTATGAAGTTGCCCATCGAGGTGTTTATTGGATGGATAGGAGTTTGCATCATCTTCTTAGTTGTGCATATAACAAAACAAATTAACAAACGATCCAGTAAACTGCATAACAGAAATAAAATCAATTGAGAAATGAGAATCAACGCCAAAAACTTGTGGACTCGTTGTTGTATAGGGTTGAACAGGTTTTCATTTGACAATCAATAAGGAAAACTTACTTTGCTATTATACAAGGTGTTTTCGAAATAAGTGAAAATATTCAGCACATTAATATGATACAGTCTAAGGAATATTCCCAAGATATCAGATTTTCTCTAATTCTTCTAATAAACGAGAAATTTCATCCCAAAAATTGAACAAAATACGAGAAAAAACAATTTAAATGATTGAACTCCGCGTGATTGTGCCTACCGCATGGAAATTTGAACAGAGATGACGTCAGATTTGCTACACTGTAGACCTTTGGTAGAAAAAGAGGTCTTACCTCAAATTTTATTTTGATCCCTAAATTTTTTTACTAGTGCCATTCGATAGTAGGTACACGTCGAGCTTTCTCAGTGTTTGAAATATTTGCACTTATTTCAATGCCACCTTGTATTTTCACAAAACCAATTTTTTTTATATTTGCATTGGCTGTTGATAATAATAAGGTTGACATCATTAACATATTACCCCAGAGAGTGAAATATGTGATTCTATGAATTGAGATCTATGAATGTTCATAGAATATTTTCATAGAACATTTGAGAATTCAGAATTTATGTTCTCACAAAGTGCGTTGAATTTTCAGTAAATGAACTAAAAAATGAGACGAAAACTTACAAAGATCTTTCTTAGCATATTTGGAAAATATCCTCAGAATTTCCCCAAGAACATAATAAGAACATCCTCTGTATATTCCGAGAATCACCTTAGCATCTTTTGAGAAACCTAAACCTCATTCTAAGAATATTCTCACTACATTCTTGGGAACATTAAGAATATCCTCAAAATATTCTAGAATAGGTTTCACAAACATACAATAGATCGACGTCCATTGAATATCCAAAACCACATGAAGCATGGGCATTGTCGATCTAAATGGAAAAGCTAGTTAGTAGGGGACAGGAGGAATATGGCATGGGCAACTGATGGATATCCAAGAGACAACCACTATAAGGATATCCTTGCAGCTTGCATAAATGTCCTCTGAACATCCATCGGATGGCCATGTGTTGTATGGGTTGTGAATATCTACTGGACGTCTATAGTGTGGGATGTTCTTGAATTAATTTTCCAGAATATTCATTGGATATCCGACGGAAGTCCATATGTAATTCATTTAGTGGATCAGGAAATGAAATCAAACGCGAATGGATACTTCAATAAGTACTTCAAAAACATCATCAAAACAAATATCATATTTCTTTGAATTAAAATATGAAAAGAATAATGACGGCAAAAACAATATACTGGCATCTTTCTTCTGGTACTATACCTTATCTATACTTATAGCTCTTTCTCAAAATTGTTATTTTCTTAAATTCCATCAACTTGATGAATCTACAATGCCTTGCATTTCATAGGACTCTATTGTTTTCAAGTCCTTCCTGCTTTGTCGCTAATTTCATAACCTTACTTCTCCACAAAAAATAAAGAATAATAGATCAAACTTAAGGATACAATATTCGCAATAGAAACTAAGCATACGCCTCCTATCGGAGTTTTTGTGAGCTGTCAAAGCGTTCGGTTTACTTTGTTTCTATATTGGTCACACGCTCAGAAATGTTCAAATGTTGCCGTCAGGTGGAGTGTTATTTTCTATCGCGAATATGATTCACAAAAAATCTTAGTACCTAAAATACTTTGACCAATTTTCTGACAAGTTTGTCAAAGCAATATGAGTACCGTCAACTGGGTTGAAACGAATCAAAATTTGAGTACATTCCTTGAGTGTGAAAAAAATAATGATTCGTATATCCTTCCTCTAGAGCTCAGTGGAAAAATAAATAATTCAACTATCATGAACGATTTTTTGAAAAATCCCAAAGTGTGATCCGCTTCACCCTGAATTGTGGGGTGAAGAGGATGTTATCATACCTTTCAAATGTCTGAATCGGAAAAATCACTTCAAACATATGTTAATGGGTGGAAAGGATCAAGGACATTCATTTTGAACAATAATAAATTGATTACTAACAGAAGTTCATGAAAATAGCTATATAAACGTCTCAAGGTGGTGAAGATGACTACGGAATTTTCGAAAGCCCACAGTCCTCTTTGAATATTCCACGTTATAATAGCATTAATAGCTATTGTCTCCTGCAATTTTTTATAAACTATCGGCATATTTTCTTCACTTTACATGTGAGCCGCTCCACCCTATAACAAGTAAACTTCATTTTTTTCTCATAACTCTTTGAAAATAGAACCTAAAAATTTCAGATCCGGCTCAAACGATTGACTACAGACTTGTTTATGTCAGTTTTATGATTTTTCTGTTTGTATGTATTCTATGGATGTATCCCCAGGTAGGTTTTGTCACACTTTCAAAAACACACGGAAGTCTCAATAAAAATTCGAAATTTCTTTTCAACTCACCTGTGGTGTAAACTGATATGATGACTAATTTCAATAAGCTATTTGTCGGTAATGATGATACCTTATCAGTTTGATCAATGAACACAAGTTGATTGCAGAAACCTGCATGCTCACATGAAAACTATACATGAGGATCCTCTTCACTATATTCGTTTCACCACCGTTGACGGTACTTAATGGAATATTTCTGCATGTTATCTTATAATGTTTGAATGAGACATTCTATGATTATTCCTAAATAACTTCCATATAATATTGTAGATTTTTCTTGAACATTCCGAGAATATTGAAAAAAAATCTAATTTTAACAGAACACTCATGGAATATTCTAGAATTTAATGGAATATTCTAAGATGTTATGGGAATTTTCGGATGATATATTGATTATATGATTAGTCTTTGAAAACATTTATAAAATATGAAATATTCCAGAACATACTAAAAATGTTTGATTAATAATATATTCTATGATCATTTCAAGACAACATTCATCAAATATTGCAGAATATTCGATAGGAGGTATGTTGTGAACATTGTGAGAATAGCCCTAGAATATTCTGTGCTCTCTGTGATATCAGTGTTAGTGGTATGCTCAGGTGTTATGTGTACAGTTTCAATCAGTTGGTTGCTTCAAATGTTTGGAAGTTTCTATGAATTTATATAAGTCATGTTTTATACCAGTTTTCCCATTGTTATCATTTTTGTAGTTATAATAATGAATCTTTGATGAAAAAGGTTTTTTTCAATCAGTATATATACAGGTTGTTTCATCATAAAAAATTACATTATGGCAACCCAATCTAACTAAGGCATTGATGAATTCAAATAACCTACCTATTTGAAGAAATGTCTCATATATCTGATATATATATAAAAGGTGTTTTTTATTTCTTCATGCAAAAATGCTGTTTCATTTTTCTATAATGGTTTGATCAAATATACATACATACATACATATGTACATACAAAAGAAGGCACACTCATTTCACAAATGACATTTTTGAGACATGAGGAATAAAAAACACCTTGTATGCCAGAAAATAGACTGCTTGGGAAATTAGAATACAATATGATTTTTGAAAGTATTCAAGTGAGTATATCATTATGAGTTAGTGTGATCATAAATTGAATTTATAAAATATAGTAGGTTTGTTTGTTGAATACAGTAAATCCCTTGTTGCCACATAGCACATAATATGCAATGTTATGTAATGTCACTCCTCTAGAAGAATATGTCATTAGGAACAAATAAAAGTTAAATAGATTCCAGGAAACAAACTTGCATATTGAACCTTCAGATTATTTCTGGCTATTGGTTGCAGATGCACTATAAAATTTATATATAATAGAAGAAAATGTCTATATATTTCTATTTATTTCTATATATTATTACCTATGTCTTGGTATTTTTAATTGAATGCAGTCAGGTTAGAATTTTTGAATTATATATTTGTATTCATAAAATCTCTATGAGCTATGTAGTACAAGGGTATCAGAAGTGTGATAAAATTTTATTTAAAAATTGTTAACAATAAATATTTTAATATGCATTTTTATGAAATAAACTTTACTAAGAACAAATTTTGTATATTACTTTGGTCTAAATGTCACTTATTGCTATAAGGAAGATATAAAAACTTGAACAAATAGCATCAATGGAAACAATGAGAAATTCTAATAAAATAAACTATGTAGGGGTTAACCCCTCTTGAAAAGTCAAAGTTTTATTACTTTGCACTTCCTTCTGCATTTCTAAAGCTCTATTTTTATATTTTTCAGCAAGATCTTGATTCATAGGTACTCCTGAAATGATACATTCATTTTTTAAACCAGACATTCAGCAATTAATAATATCACCTTCTCCTTTGGCATACATCCTACTCAAATTTGCACAACTGTACATGTTCCCAAGATTACATCCTTCCAATGCAAATTCATAAGCCTTTTTCATATTTTTTGGTATGTCAAATTCTTCAGGTTTGGAATTATCTACCAAATTTGGTATAATATTGCCACCAGAAGACTGATCTTTCTTGACACCAACTATGTACATTCCTGATAAATAATAACATGCATTTCCATTTTTATTTTTGCAAGCTTTCTCTAAAAGTGTCATGCCCTGAAATAAGATAAATACTGAGCAAGCCTTTAGGAGAAAAGAAAATATACAATTGTCTCTCAATAGGTGATCTCATAGGATAACTGGAACACTAACCTTTAATACATCTTGTTGTATCTCGGGACGATCATTTTTGGCAATCAATAGTAATCCTTGATTCAAACAGGAATCTGGTTCATTCAAGTTGCACCCTTTTTCAAAATAATCATATGCTAATTTGAAATCTGCTTGTTTGGTACCTTTTGCTAATAAAGAATATGTTCCATACTTGAGACAGCTTTTCCCATATTTGTACTCATCGCAGTTGTTTTTATACACTTTTCCAGCTTTCTCATAATCTTTTTTGATAGATTCTAAAAAATCTGCTAATAAATGGCACACTGAAATCTGAAAATGTTAGGTTATAATTTCTTTTAATTCCAATCAACTTACCTTCCGGTTTTTTTTCACTATAACATCCGAATCTGTATTCTATTCCCAAATTATTGATATAATCCTTTATTTCACTCTCAGATTTGAAATTATAAGCCATTTTTTAGAAAAAAATATTGATTTTGTTTACACAAAAATTTTGACATTTGTGAGAAAGATACAAATGAACTATTATCGAGCATTGGAACTTTGGATCTATGAACGAAATGAACTACTTCAATGTAAACACCGGTGTGAACTTGGCAGACCAAGCCAGCGCCTAAAATTTCCGGAGTTACCCGAAAGCCAGTGGCGCACTATATATTTTTTTAGGGGCGTGAGCTTGGCAGACCATCAACAGCTAAATTTTTGAAGATACTGGAATGAACAGTGGCTGACCTCGAAAATATTTTCCTGCCTGTAACATTATTCGAATAAGAAATTATGAGTCCTATTCGCATAACAATAAAATTATTACAGTTATAGCGGAATAAACATATGAATACCTAGCACGATGTTCTTTGAACATTATAGGGATTCGGGGATTCCCTTTCGTGCGCTCCAAGCGATAAAAAAAATATATACATGTATTTACTCAATTTTTCCCCTTAACAAAAGTATGTGGTGTAACACCACGCATTGATGAAGAAAAGTAATATATATAATATATATTCCCAGGGCTCGGCTCCAGGACTGCCGCTATCAAACATGATGGTAAAGCTGTAATTCCCTCTGAAGAATATAATTTCTACCACGAATAATTACTATAACCTCTGCCTGCTTAGTATTTTGTTTTCGATGCACCACCCTCGAATTCAAAATTTATTTCTGAAGCTCAGCACAGGACTGCCGCGATCAAACATGATAAAAAGGCTTTATTTTCATTTCGAAGGTGGTGCATCGAAAAAAAAATACTCAGCAGGCCGAGGTAGTAATTATTTCCCGTAGGTATCATTCTTTGGATGAAAATAAAGCCATTTTATTATGTTTGTTCGCGACAGTCCTGTGCTGAGCTTCAGAAATAAATTTTGAATTTGAGGATGGTGCATCGCAAAAAATAATACTAAGCAGACAGAGGTAGTAATTATTTCTGGTAGGTATCATTCTTTGGATGAAAATAAAGCCTGCAGTCCTGTGCTGAGCTTCAGAAATGAATTTTGAATTTGAGGGTGATGCATCGGAAAAAAAATACTCAGCAGGCAGAGGTAGTAATTATTTCTGGCAGGTATCATTCTTTGGATGAAAATAAAGCCTTTCTATCATGTTTGGTCGCATCAGTCCTGTGCTGAGCTTCAGAAATTAATTTTGAATTCGAGGGTGGTGTATCGACAAAAAATACTCAGCAGGCAGAGGTAGAAATTATTCCTGGTTGAAATCATATTTTTTAGAGGGAATTAAAGCGTTACCATCATGTTTGATAGCGGCAATCCTGGAGCCAAGCCCTGGGAATATATATTAAATTATTGTTTTTCATCAATGCGTGGTGTTACACCACATACTTCTGTGAAGGAGAAAAAATTTAGTAAATACTTGTATATTTGCTATGTATTCATATGTTTATTACACAATAACTGTAATAATTGTTATGCGAAAAGAAATCATAAAATCTTATTCGAATAATTTTACAGAAAAAAATATTTTCGGGGGAGCCACTGTTCATCAAAAATTCAGTTGCTGTTGATGGTCTGCCAAGTTCACACCCTGAAAAAATGTTTGGTGCGCCACTGGTCTCTCGGGTAACTTCGGAAATTTTAGCCGCTGGCTTGGTCTGCCAAGTTCACACTGGTATGTAAACATTCTTTTTGCTGTCAACAGACGCACTCATCCACAGCCGTCTTCAACTAACTTGAAGACGGCTGTTTAGCTGTGACTCATCCGTCAAGTAACAACTAACCTAAAAAACAAAATATTCAGTTTGTAAATTTTGTGAATGTAGAAAAGTATTTGAAATGACTAAACTTACGTTTTCTACTAATGAAGTTGTGAGTTTGGAAAGGAAAATAGATTCAACTGATGATATTATTCCAACTGAGATTGAAGATTTGGAATATGTTTATGAAATCAGTAGGTGTGCAGAATGGATAAGATCTAATCAGTTTCAAAAGGTGAGTGTATTTTTTGCAGCAATTTTCAAAGACAATTGCAGTGGCAGCACAACTGGCAAAACATATAAACTCATATTACCTATTCATTCCATTTGGTAATGTGTTCTAGGTATGTCTACAGTTCCCTGATCATTTACTTCCAGATTCTAGTGAAGTGACCTTAAAACTACAAAATGTCCTAGGTCAAACCATATATATTCTAGGAGATACTGCTTATGAAAGGTGTGCTTTTTTCAATGTCTATTTTAAATTCCAGGTGAATTCTGGAGATAACTACTTTGTACACATTGAGATAATTCTCAAAATTCCTTTTTTATTTTTCTAGTTGTTGTGTTGACTATATTGCAGCTGCACACATCAATGCAGATGCAATCATTCATTATGGACCTGTATGTTTTTCCAAATCTTCAGGAAAAATTCCCTACCTGAATATTTATGAAAAACATCAACTCAATGTTGATGAAGTCAAGAACCAAATCTGTGATAAATTGGGAACATTTATGGAAGAAATAATAATTTTAGTTGATACACCATACTTACATCTTTCAGGTATGTACCTAAGCCATAAAAATACTTGAAGTATTTAGCTTTATTTAGGTACACCTCCAATACAAAAGTGCAGAAATCATACAATTTGTGAAACAGTTGTAAATAAATAATTTACTGGATGGATAAGTGACTGAACACCTGTTTCAAGAAAAAGTAAATAGAATTATGAGAAGTTTTATGAATAAATATAAAATTGATACACTATATAGGAGACTATACAGGGTGGGTCACGGTAGATGGCACCTTAGACGTTTACGGAGAACGGGACATAAGATCATTCTGAAAATTTGGTTACTCAAGTAATTGCTCTTGATCTATCGATCTAAAATATTTTCAGCTCTGCGGCGTTGCCGCTTCTATCGAAAAGTAGCAACAACTTTGTTATTTTGAATGGAACACCCTGTATTTTATTGCATCTTCAGATTCTCTCTGAAGAGCTGATTTCATCGATATATAACACTTGGGGTCTAGCGGAAATGATTACAGAGATATAGAGTGTGAAAAATCGACATTTTTCAACTTAGGGAATTTTTTTTGTCGAAACTATTCATTATTGGTCAAAATGGCTTACATGTCCCTATCTCAACTTTTGATTAACTATCTACTGATATTCAATTGGGACATATACCGGGTGATCAAGAATCTGAATTCTGCACCACCCTGTATTTGTTTCAATTAAATGTCAGTAGATAGTTGATCAAAAGTTGGGATGGGGACATGTGAGCCGTTTTGACCAATAATGAATAGTTTCGACAAAAAAAATTCCTAAAGTTGAAAAATGCCGATTTTTCACACTCTATATCTCTGTAATCATTTCCGCTAGACCCCAAGTGTGATACATCGATGAAATCAGCTCTTCAGAGAGAATCTGAAAATGCGATAAAATACAGGGTGTTCCATTTAAAATAACAAAGTTGTTGCTACTTTTCGATAGAAGCGGCAACGCCGCAGAGCTGAAAATATTTTAGATCGATAGATCAAGAGCAATCACTTGAGTAACCAAATTTTCAGAATGATCTTATGTCCCGTTCTCCGTAAACGTCTAAGGTGCCATCGACCGTGACCCACCCTGTATACCATAAGAACTGGAACTTTTAAATTCACATCAAGATTCACATATACCAGGTATCCCAGAACAAGGTACCATAAATTGTACAGGGTGAACTTGATACTAAAATAACCCCATTGAAACCACCTTACCTCTATTGCACCATTGAGCCATGAGAGGGCAATGAAGAACAATTTCATTTCCAGATTTTCTTCAATATTTCAAAGTCCTTGGAAGTTAATTTACTTTAGTGAATGTGCATGGAAAATATGTCCTACCAATTCAATCAATATACATGGAGTTAGATATTTCTGAGGGTATTTCACATTCTCTTTGATACAAATCTATTTAATATTTTTTGGAGTACCCATGATATTTCAATGAATGAAACATCAATTATCTCACTCTCTTCTTGCTGCAGTGTTTTTATAATTTTTCTTGCTTCTTTCAAGCTATCTAATAAAATTAATTTTGCTGCTACTTATAACTTGTTTATGATTATGAGGATTATCACTTTTTGCAAGTTCTTACCTCATTTGTGTTGAGTTATTGACCACAATAATCATGTCCATCCTTAACTGAAATTTGCTAATTGGTGGACATGATTATTGTGGTCAATAACTCAACACAACTGAGGTAGAAACAAGCAACATGATAATTCTAACATCATAAACAAGTCCAGGGGGTTGCCACCAGCCATCTCAACTTGTGAGTTATTGCCATTTCCCCTTATTACCATGATTTTCTTGGTATTGCCCGGTATTGCCCTGCATTTCCCTTTATTTTCCGGCATTTCCTGGTGTAGAATACATTCTGTATAATATGATGATTGTTTTATATTATCATGGTTACTTTGTATTATGATTTTGATGTTGACATAAGAAATAATAATAAATATTCTGACTTGAGCAGTCAAAAAAAAGTCTAATTAAATATTGAATATAATTATCTCCACTAGAAGACGAAATTGACGACTGTTACACCTGGTATTTCCCGCATTTCCCAGCATTGTCAGATATTCTCAGAGTTCCCTGCATTCAATGGTATTTCACAGCAATTTCCGATATTTACTGCACTTGATATGGGCTGGTATTTCATGGTTATAATTTTCATTTTAGGGAATTCAAATCTATTCTTATCTTATACCCCTTCTAATACCTGGGTAGATATACCTAGCACATCTATCTCTTAGTATTATCAGGAAAGAAAAATAGAAAGCTATATAGAGCAAGTAGAAGTTTCACATTTCTATAAGCATATATAAAAATTGCCTTGTTTTACAGATACAAAGTGTTGAAGTTGAGAATATTCATAAAAATTCACTATGGACTGTCAAATTATCCAACTATCAATAGTATATTACTTAATATGTGTTGTAAGATGCATATTACGCACGACTGGAAAAGTTACGCACATAGCCTACTGCCATATATAACATCAAAAAAGTTTGGACAAACAGTCTGAATTATAATTCTTGACAGTTATGTCATCAGCTGTTGAAGGCGATTACGCGATCATGACTGGCGGGATAAACGAAAACTGTGCGATGTGTTTACCGTTCGTAAGGAGCTACTTACCGAGGCTGTATCTCCATCTCCTGTGTTATTGCCTACTTTCTATAGTGGCCGTAGGTAAAATAATATACATACTTCTTGTGATCATCAAGTATAGCCGATTCTCTAGAAACCATCAGTATCGAGTTTTAACGTGAACATATGTTTGTGAACTATTGGATATTTTTGCATAAAATTAGTAGCTTTCCATTCACTATCTAGGTACTAGATAATCTTTCAAAATTAAAAAATAACGAGAACAGCTAAATCTTGACACCACTCGCCCTCAAGTCGCTAGTATACAAGCTTCCGCTACTTGTCATGCTATAGCGCCACTTACTAATGACCGTTAGGTGGCGCTGCTCCAAAATTTCATCATCCTACCGATACCAGTCAATCTTTTGAGATGTAATATTACTTTGCCCTTCAAAACATACCTATAAGACATCCTAACTTCCTGATGAAGACAAATTGTGGTTTTTGGTAGATATTTTTTGTGAATCTCAAGCTGCAAGACAAACGCTTTGGTCAAGTATCTATACTCTCACTGTCGATTTTTGGAGTACCTATGTCCCGAAATCAGAAACACGTGATATTCACAAAGGTGTATTTTTTACACAGTGCTTTCATGAAGTTTTTTTTAATGTTCTGGTTCCCATGAAAAGGGATATCCTGAACAGATCTATTTTATGTCAAAATATATGTTTCTGAAGCATCTCCTGGAACAAGTCGATTTTAAATCTCAATTTGCCACATTTATAAGGAAATATTTTTAATTAGGGTGAACCACGTTTTAGTAATGACCGTGCCGTGCCGTTGTATTCCAAAAAAAGTTACATCAATTTTTATCAAAGATAATGCAAAGTATCTAACTCCCTGTATATTGATTGAATTAGAATGACCTTTTTGTATGCACATTCACTATAGTGGATTTCCCTACAAATTTCAGAACAGTATCTTTCCAGGATTTCGAAATATTGAAAACAATTTGGAAATAAAATTGTTCTTCATCACCCCTCAAGGCTCAATGGTGCATTTTCGTATGGAGGTAAGTTGATTTCACTGGGCCTATTTTGGTATCTAGTTCACCTTGTAGAATTTATGGTACGTTGTTCTGGGTTCTTGTACAAGGTGTGTATAAAAATGAAAGTAATAATTCATACTGACATATATATACAGAGTGTCCCATAATTCATGTATCAAAAGAAGTGGGATGGTAGGGGGGGGGTCATTTGCAATCAAGCTAACGTGTGTAGAAAGATCATTATTATTATTATTATTTGCATTGTTGAATATCATCACTATTATTATTCTGTTGTATGATTAATATAAACGAGTTGACGGAATGTTCAACTGATTTAGTTATACAATGTTATGCGGTGATTCATTTTTTGAGTCACGCATTCCTGGACGGGATGATAAAAGTCAGTATCCACTGTGCAGGGTAACGAGGCGGTCTAAGTGAATAAATTGTTAAAGCTCTAAGTATTTGATTCGTTAAAATTACCTAGTATAACAATTCAGAAGTGGTGATGAGTAGTAGTGATAGTGAAAGTAGTCGCATAAGCAGATATAGGCGAACACCATCGAAGCAAGGAACATGCAAAAAAAATCAGCGAGAAAGGGAGAAGTCTGATGAAAGCAGATCCGCACATAAGAATGCCAATTGGGATCAAGGATGACCCCCTTTGCAAATGGTGCCTGGAAGATGACGAAACGTCATCACATGTCCTCACTGAGTGTCCAGCACTGAGGCATCAGAGAAGGGCTGTCCTTGGCAACATAATTTTGAGGTCAGAGGGCGTAAAAGAGATTCAGCTGAGGAAGCTGCTAAATGTCGTAACATGTGGGCGCACAATGGGCCCGAATAAGGAGGCCCACGTGCAGGGGGTTCACCCGCCCACCAATGCTTCGAAGAAGAAAGAAGAAGAGAATGCCAATAACGAACTGGCCAAAATCGACCAAAACGACGACGCATAGAAAATCTAGAAGAACTAATGAACAAAGGGGTGAACGAAATTCTGCCGCTAAGAATGTACAAAAAATGGTCACTAACCCTATGTCGACAAACCTCACTGCCAAAAATGATATCCTGCCAACATTTGATCCTGAAAAGAGTCAATTGACTTCAATCAATTTGCTACGTAAAATAGACCAACTAGCTCTCATTCATGGGTAAAACGATACTAAATCATACTACATGCAGTCAAAACGGGGGTCAACCACTACGTCCAATATGTGTACACTTGTCTTAGGCCAAATTCCTATTCTCGCAATGCAAATGTCCGATCTCATACTTATAATTTTTGATAAAATCCGATAATATCAGTCCAATCCTACGTCTAATCTGCCCAATCCGTGTACCTTTTTGGGAGAATGGATTACCCCTCGGTCAAAAC